GCTGCTGCCCCCAAGCACCCTCCTTTCCTCCCCATGATCCAGGGCTGTGGAGATGGGCCATGTGCCACCCACCCTCCCTGTGGAGCTGGGGGAGGGAGCAACTTGGCTCTTGTGAGGGGGCGGGGCCTGGGAAGAATGGGTGGGACTGGTGGCCTTTCTAGAGATGAGTTTCTTCTCTCTCTTAACCTCCCATCTAGCCCAGATTTTAATATGATTGGTCTCAAGGCATGCAGTGAAATGGGCTCAGCTCACAGCATCATATCCGCATGCGTCCAGGCCTTGGCGAGGCTCTGACATAGCACAAGTCAAAGCTGGTTTTTTGTAAAGGGAAACCCTGGAGTCCCTGGCTCCCTTGGCAGCTGCCTCATCACTAGCAAAGCACAGCATCCCATTGAGAGTGGCCCTTTGTGGGGCCGGGGGCTTGCACGGCACGTGGGGGGGAAACTCCCTCTGGGAACGAGTGGCCCTTTGTGGGGCCGGGGGCTTGCAGGGCACGTGGGGGGGGAACTCCTTTTGGGAATGGATTTTGAAAAGAGAGACCTTCCAGCTGGCAAAATAAATCAGCTGGATGGTTCTGATCCCTCGGGGTAGCTGCTTGTGGCAAAAGTGGGTCAGCAGGCTCCAGCTACAGGACAGTTCCATGAGGGACAGGAAAACGACTCCAAACATTCCTTTATTTGGGAGGTGCAGTTGTAACAAGATGCTCTGAGTAGCCACTGCCTGCCTGTGATGTGCCTCGGGTCTTTGACCCACAGGAAATCAACATACTGTTCCTGCCCCATTGTAACTGTCAATCGCTCACAATACGCGTTCGCTATGATCCTGTTTATATTAAACACGACAAAACCCACAGAATCTGCCAGTCGGGAGATTTCAGTTAACTCCTGTCATATTTAGTTTAGCATCTAACACCTTCTTCTAGGCAAATACAGCTCTGGTTCACTGAACCCGATAACTCCTTTTTAGTACACCAAGTGACTTCCATATGGAATAAATTACAGTACCTCCTGAAAAACACCAGAGGCAGCTGCCAAATTATGCAAAATTTAAATCACTAATGAACAATGTGATGAAAGTTGAATGAAGGTGTATTTACAAGATCTACAACACACGGTGTCTGTGGAGCAGATGTACTGTCTGCATAAGTTGATCTAGATACACACACACGCATATATATATGTATATATGTAAATGGGATCTGTAAGGTCTTTCTGTTTTAAATACAACTATCTCAGAATAATAATTTATACCTGTC